GGTTGAAATAAGCTGAATTTTAACCCCTCTTGAAGAGCCCAAAAAGGCATAACTTTCAGCATTTCTGAAAGTGGCCTTCTTTGTAGAGGGGGTTCTTGACAGAGAAACCTAGCAAGAGTGAAATAACTAGGGTGAGCCCTACACCAACATAACAGATTCCTTATTTTTAAGAGGGGAAGGTGTCAGTGACAAGAAAATAATGTAAGGATAGGAATAAGTCACTTAACTCTCTGTATGAATGGCTTCAATTACCCAATCAAAAGGCACAGATTAGCAGACTGGATTTGAAAACCAATGTTATCCTATATATATAAAAATACATTTAATCTAAGAAGATATCCACAGACTATAAATCAAAGGGTGGAATACAATATTCCATGAATGATAACCCAAAACCAAGCAGGAGTAGCTTGCCTATTTTCAGCCAAAGTAGATTTCAAACCAAACTGATAAGAGGAGGAAAGAAGAATCACTACATATTGGTTAAGAAACAGTTCCATGGGAATAGGTAACAGTTGTAGATATGTGTATACAAAATACGAATACACCAAACTTCATAAAAAAACACTGCATGACACGAAGTCAGATAAACATCAACATAATTATAGTGGGAAATCTCACACCTCATATTACAGAGAAGGAAACTGGATCAGAGAGATGTGAGTATGTCTCCCCCACACCCAACATGCCACTGGGCTTATACTCCAGCACACTGAAGTAGCCTATCACAGAGCTGCTAGATAAAAAAAAAATCAACAAAGAACTTCCGCATTAAACCAGATCTTCAAATAAGTGCATCTAATAGATATCCAGAGTATTCCACCCAACAAAAAAAAATTTTGACATTTTTCTCAGCAGCACAAAGTACTTGCTAAAATAGACCATCTGTTAGCCAATAAAGCATGTTTAAATAAATACACAAGAACTGAAATCGTCCCATATTTATTATTAAATCATAATGCAATGAAAGAGAAACCATTTGGAAAAGAAAGCACAGAAATTATGCAAACACACAGACATTAAATAATACAAACTTGAATAACCATGGGTCATAGAAAAAATTATAGAGTCTCTAGAATAAAACAAAAGCACTAATGCAACATGCCAGAAACCATGGGACAAAATGAAAACAGTCTTAAGAGGTAGGTTTATAGCTATAAGTGCCAGTGTTAGAAAAAGAGCAAGCTGTAAAAAACAAATAAAAACCTTAACAATGTATCTCAGGGTCCTAAATAAACAAGAATAATCCAAATCTAAAGCTAGCACAAGGAAGGAAATTATACAGATCAGAACATAAATTAAAGAAATCAAGACTTAAGAAACCAATAAAAACATCAACAACTGGCATCCAGTCTGCAGTGACAAGGATTACATTGCAGACCCAACAACAGGCCAGCAGGAGGAATTCAGATGACTCATTCCTCATCATTGCATCATCAAACGGGCAACCAGTCTAACTGCAAGAATTCAGATCAGAAACCAGCCTGATGAGGAATCCAAGTAACTGGCTCTTTTCCCCTAAAATCAGAGGGACCAGGCCACCAGAGGCACACAGGCCTCACAGTAGGAACCCTCCTAGGGCACATACAATGAACAGGCAGGACTAGCAGGGTGGAACAGTCTGAGGTAACAAATGATTTGTTCTAATGGTGTTTGTAAATAGGATGTCAAGTCCACATCTTGTACAGCAATTAGCCACTAAGAAGAATGTATGCAGTGTGTTAATTATTGAAACTGTCCTACTGATTTGATTTGAAACTGTCTCATTGCTATCTGTTTATCAATAAAATTATGGCAAAATAAATAAATAAATAAAGAGCCAACAAGTGGTAAGTTAGCATTCTGCCTAGGGACAAAGAGAAGCAGGCAGGTGGGGCTGCCTCATTTCTTCCTTTAATATATTTTTGTTTTTATCTTTTCCTTTTTCTTTTGTCTTTTCTTTATTTTTTTTATCTAACTTTTCTAAATGGCTGGGGAAGAATCCAGTCACAACAAACTAATCCCGTGCCTCAAGCCCAGAGACCAAGTTCAGATAATCTTCAGACAATCTTGCCTACTTCTACATTTCTTTCTTTTCTGCCCTCTAATCTAGTTTCATAACCCTTATGTGATCACTTTCTGTCCTCCAGCCTGGCTTTTATTTTCTTTTCAGTTATCTTTGTTTTATCCAATATCCTTAAATTTCCCTGCTGCAGGGTGAAACCATTTTACTAAGAGGAAGCACTGTATATACAAGCTTCTAAGTTATGTTTACTTCTGTTGTATAATTTCATTTTACTCTTGTGGTTTAAGGTA